TGACGAGCAGGACACTGCAGGAAAGTCGTCTTTCACAGGCTGCTTCAGCAGTGGCAATTCGAAGGTTATTTTGCCATTGAAGCTTTAAACCATTGCCTATCGTGAGTGTGAGGGATACACATACACGGTGAGGTCCCTTATAAATATTAGATAGCACATTGTGTTGCCCTATTTTCATAAACGTACCCACAGTACATAGCATAGCCAAAGCATAAAATGACAATACTTGAAGATGGGGGCTCGTTCAAAAATTCAGGGAGAGTGTCCTGGTCTGATTATTATTGAAAAGCCAGCTATTCCCACTGCACTTTATAAGCATTGTGACATGAATTAGCAACCGACTTAAAATTGGTTTCCTGGCTTATTAACACACTTATATTTCTTTGTACATAAGATGTGATAATTAAGCAATGAATTAATAACACTCTCTTTTTAATCAAGCAAACAAGACATGTAATCACTTTACCTTGTACTGTTACAGCCTTTTATATTAATCTTAACAGCATTTAATTCAGGCTTTTGCTGTTACAGAAACATTACTTGGTCCAACCTCGTAACATTGCGTCATGACTTCCACATATAACTGGCTCAGGTGCTCATTCACACATTGAGAACGATAGTTAAAATTGCAATTAATGTAACGAGGCGCATGTCTGAGAAGGGTCATTAAGCCAAAGTGTTGATCAAGCGGAAAGTTCACCTTACAGTGTGACAGCAGAAAGGTCAAGTAACCAAATTAATCATGCCGGCATGTGAATTAAAAGCTACCCCTGTGGACTTTTCCAGTAGCACTGCCCCTGAAAAATACAACACCTGAGTCTTCTTCCAGTGCTTCTGTTTCATCTCTCATCTTCACACTCCAGTCTCCATTTGAAACAATCACTGCTGCTAATGCTTTAAGACTGATAGTCTGGCATTTAACAAATGACCTTTGAAAAGAAACTCTAAATGCCATAATGGTGTTTTAAATTTATTGTGATATTGATTTTCCGTCATATGACCGGGCCTCTACATAATCTCACTATTAAACAACTTGGCAAGGCAAAGTTAATATACACAATTTGTCCTCAAATTAACTGTATATTGTCATTTACTGTGGTTATTCAACTAAAGCGACGCAATTTCCTCCAGTCAATAGACAGGACACGAATAATTCACCTCTCTTTTTCTAACTTTAATCACACCTAATTTGTGTGACTGTGCCAAGCAGATGCAATGTTGCCTTATTTGCATTCCAACAGCCATCTTTGACGCATCGCCACATGCTGGCATAAGGATGCTGTCCTCTCTCCAAATTGCCTGCTAAGTAGCTTCTGGACATCAGCAGTCATTCTGTCTGTCTGTGCTGTTTGTGACTGCTGTGTTCACATTTTTCCAGCCTGATTCCTCTGGTGGCTCTCACACACAAACTGCCTCTGTCATCAGCCGCTGATAAAAAGCTGGATTCTGCTCTGACAGTATCATCCTGCTTTTTTCTTCCCTCTCTTCCTGACACCAACAACAATAAGAGCAGGAAAGAGCACAATGCAGAGGCTCCTGCTAACAATGTGACACAGACAATGTCTTTCCAGATAACATGTTGATGGTTTGCCTGTCAGCTTTTGACATCACAAAGTCGCCATGGAAATGACGGAGAAATGGTGATGTTGGCGGCATTGGGGGAACAATAACAACTCCTATCCATCAGTGTGTGCACAAAAACCAAGATCAGGAGTTTTAGCACAGCATCCATCAACAGCCATCAATGCAAACCATTCAGGACAACCTGTCACTTAACGTTGACATCTTGTGCTCAAATTGAGAAACTAAAACCATCAGTAAGACTCATTAAAGCCCTAATCCATTGAGAAAACTTCTAAATCCCACAGATTTACACTCAATATTCAATAATTTACTAGAACATTTCCTCGAGAGCGTGAATAAACCAAGCACATCTTCCTGGCTGTGAAATTAATCAGTCATGTTTAATGAAAGCTGGCATGGGCAGCTGATTATTCACTAAGCAGGAATTCAGGATGAGGCAAAAGCAGCATGCTCGCATTTATGGCAGTGAGAAGCTTACAGGCGATGTAACTGCAGGGAGAGAGCGTTCAAGACAACACTTCACACATCAGTGCGACAGCAGAGCTGCAGGCTGCAGATCAGCCCCTCGCTCTCTGCCTGACACTGATGGTGTGACAAGATTTGTTGCTCTGACCCTTCACTCAGCACCCACAACCTCCTGTACTTCACACTGTAGTAGTCCGGGAGCAATCTTGCATGTTTAATATGATATTTTCTGAATAATCTGATAAACTAATAGCAAATAATGCAGAATGTTCAAGTGCTGCATATCACTGAATGCTATCTATCTATATATCTATCTAATGGATAAAGAACACCCAAAAAAGCCTGAAGTTTACTTTAATAACAGTGTGTATGATACTACCTCCAATATATCGCTGAAAAAATGCACACGTAAATGATTTAAAGTAAGTATCATACTGTGAACTACCTCAGGACTGTGTGGTATATAGAGAGAGAAAACAGACAAACCAAATTAAAAATCACTATAGACGAACATCCCAGTTTCATCCCATTAGGTATTCAGTACTGGGTATAAAATGAAAGGATCTTACTTAGGTATAAATTATAAGGTAGAGTTTTAGTGTAGCATCTAATCTTAGGGCTTCAAAAAAATTGCTATTTTTGACAGCAATTTATCTGTAAATTGTTTTATTAATGAATGAATGAATCATTCATTATATTTAATGTCAGGAAGAGCAGGAAGAGAAAAATACCCCTTACAAGTTCTAAGATCCCGAGGTGAGGTCTCCAAACCTATATGGACCACACAAACTGTAAACGCTAACCAGCATAGCTTTATATTTAGCATTTGTGAACCATTAAAACGATTCATCCAATTTTAAAACGTTTGCCAATCTTTTTTTTTTTTTTTTCCTGAATCGACTACTCGATTAATCGACTGACTTTCACTATCAGTTCTAATGGGCTAGTTTTAAATGCTGTAGGCTAGTTGTTTTGTGAAGGCACAACTGGTAGTAGGACTGGCCATATCACTCAGGAGGAAGAAAAGTAAATCACAACTGAGACTTAACAACACAATAAAGCAGCTTTGTACACTATAGTACATCCAGTCCATCAGCTACTGGCAGCAAGACAAACAAAAGCTCTCCAGTAATAAAACACTACAGACCACTAGCTCACTTCAGCAGCCAGAGGCACTACGGTCCTCCTCTCCCTCTCTGGTAGATAATACCACCTCTGCTTCGTCGCCAAACATCTTTACAACATTGTACCAAATCCAAACATTTGAACACACACACACACACACACACACAGTCTCACTCACTTTCGTGCTTCGAAGTTCCCCATGTGTGCCGCGGAACTCCGGGGCTCTTGATGATCGCTCTGCCGGCGGATTTCAGGGCATCCATCCCGAGGTGTGTCTCGCTCTCCGGCAGGTGGATTCCCCCCCCAGTTTCTCCCCGGACCACAGAGAGGTAAACACAGCAGGCAGAGCTCGACGGCGGATGCGCCAAAGCAGGAAAAAAAAAAAGCTCGCTGATAGAAGTTACCACCCTCAATCTCTCCCTTTTCTCTGCTCCACTGATGACATGAGCAGCTGAGGGTGAGCACTCGCACCCACTGCACCGCTTCCAAAGTTAAGGGCGTGTCCTCCTAACCTTGCTGAGCTATGAAGCTTCCTCCAAAGTGCTCCAGATTGAAGGAGCAGCCTTAATGAGGAAATTACTGCAGACTTATTATTGCAGTGTAGAGGGGGGGCTGACAACCACTAATGAGTTGATGGCTGATGAGCTTACAATTGCACTTTTTGTCTCCCAGGGTTTTTTTTTTCTGTTTGTTTTTTTTTTGTCTCTCGCTTATTGACCTGTGGTGGATCCACTGCTGCCAGGTTTTGCTCTTATTATCCCTTGTCCCCTATGTGTCTCCATGAGAAACAACACGTAATTGTTTTTTTAATTAATGATATTATTCGAAAAATTGAAATATAATAACGGACAAGGCCATTGTCTCCCATCATCTTTTTCCAGGTTGGGTCAAGTAGCAAACACAAAGCTAGGCAAAATTTCAAACTAATATATTAGTTTGAAATGTTTTGTATGTTGGCGCCCTCTATCGATTATAACTGGTTGTTGCAACCTTGTTGTGAACCATCTTCACTTAATAAGCACTGTAATGTTTGGGGATATAATTTATTAGCAGGAAGTTTCTTTGACAAAATAAACGAAAAAATGTTTTTAAATGAAGGAATGAAGACAAAATCAATTAGGGGCCGTGGGGGTCAGGACAAGATTTGAATGAGTGGCCACAAGCTGCTTAAAAGAACATTTAAACACCAAGGTTTATGTCTATCCATCTCTTTGCTTCAATTTTGAGAGGTTTCGAGTTTTTAAAAAAAGTGTGTGCGTATACAGTGTGTGTTTTCATGGATTCAGTATAATCATGCAGCTATTTTTAAAGTTGAGACTCTTCACTGTTCAAAGATGTGTAACAACCTACAGGATCCCCTTTTCAGGTTTGACTGGGGCCTTTTGGTGCATTCTCTCAACTCCACTTGAACTTAGAAATATTCATACATTTCTGACACATACAAACCATGCGGTGTGTTTTTGTCCTTCATGGTGAAATCTTTATTTAAATTTCTTTCCACAACCCAGCACAGGTCATCACGTCATGTCTGAGTTCATCTCACAAGTATTTCACACTCAGGAAGCGAAGCAGTGCATGTATAGTCATGTATTTCTCATAAATCATCTAGAAGGGGTTATTACAGTTTTAGCCTGAGGTGGCATGCTGCTGTTGTCATTTTGGTGCTCTGTGATCATCTGAGAGGGTCTTCAGTTTATATTTAATGTCCTCAGCAGTGCACACTACTGCGACTACACCGACTGCTGCGTGTGTGGGCGCACTTGTGTGTGTGTGTGTGTGTGTGTGTGTGTGCGACTGTGTATGTGAACATGGAAGTCTTGCTTGTGTGTGCGTATACAGTATGTGTTATCCTGGATACAGTATAATCATGCAGCTATTTTTTTAAAAGTTGAGTGTCGCTGCCATGTTGTTGCCACTAATGCAAGTAAGTATCTGCATTAGAATGAGCAGTTTTACAAACTAAAGCAATGTCTCCCTCTTCAGTTTAGAAGGGAAAAAGCCTCTTCAAGGTGAAACGCTGCACTAAAACAATGCAAAAGTGACACTGCCTCTTCTCTGCTTCCATGGAAGACTGTGGATCTGTGATTAATAGTTATAATTCATGGTATTTATAAGCCCTCCGGTCAATTCAAACAATCACTGCCTCAATGTCACAGAGCATCTTTGAATCCAATAGATAACAACAGTTACAGACTTGGTTTCCAGTTTCCCAGATGTCATTTTCAGCTGGACTTCTTTCAAAAAAAAAAAAAAATGCATTGTTTGTTTAACATTGCCCAATTCAGGTGTGAACACTGCATCCTAACATTCTGGAGATATTCTTTAAGGTAGAAAAAAAACAAAAACATCTTACTGTCTCGCAGCATGGCTTGGGAAGTGTTTGATATTCACTCATTGACAAGACAGTTGTTAAGATTCTTAATCCGCCCATGAAACAAATCATGCTTGCGAGGGTTTCTTTATTCGTAAAGGAGAAGGGAGAGGAGGGAGGTGAGGTCACTAAAAGAAGTATAAGAGTACAGCTGGACAAAGAGAGGGCTTCATGAAATAGATTTATAATAGAGGGGGGAATAAGGTAGTCTCCATTCAGAAAAGACCACAGAGAAAAAAAACAGACTGAACTAGTCGGCTATCATGCTCTCAGTCACTTCTGTTTTAGATTCACTGATGGGTGCTATCCTGTCTGCTTTACAGTTTATCCCCCTTGAGTTTTTATGTCATAGTCTCATGCTATTTGTCTCACACACTCACTCACACACTCGCATCTTTTTCATTTGCTCTCTCTAAACCCGCGTCTTCCTTAGAGGCTGGAGCTAGAAGGCATCTGGTGGGAGGGCCCGTCTTGGAAGCAGGGGGTGACCTTGGCCAACGATTTGCAGGTCAATCCAGTGACATGTCAGCTCATGGATTTTGTTTATTTCCATAAAACCTGACTAAATCTTCAACCAAGTATAAAGCCTGCATTGAAGGACCTCATACACCATCTATTTCAAAGACTGGTGTCCCTTCGTCTCCTCCTGCTGCTTCCCCTCCTGGTTTCTCTCTTCCCTCCTGCTCTTCTCCTTTTCCTCCTCCCCCGTCTCGTCTTCCTTCCAGTTCTGAGGCACACATGTAGTCTTGGGACTGGGACTGCGAGTGTCCCAGGGACTCCACTGACAAGCTTCGGCTAGACAGGATGCTACTTAGGCTGGACTGGCGGGCGCCTCTGGGATGGGTCTCAATTTCCACACGGACCTCAATATTGGTTCCATCCCTGTAGTAAAAATAGACATACATAGAGACATCAATATAAAGCTGCAAGGTATTCAGTGATAACTAGACTATGAAAAAAAGTGCCCCAGTGAGTTAAAAAAAAAAAAAAACGAAACAGCGGGACTTTCTTTTAGGTGTTACATCAGAAAAAAAAAAAAGAAAAAGCTAAATCCTTCCTAAAAGAGACGTTATAAACAGAGGAAATCCAGAGGCAACATTTACCTCAGAGGAGCCGCTTGCGTGTCGTCGAGCTTGCTGTCAGGCACAATAACCACCTCGCAGTCTGATGGGCTGTCCTGCTGAGTATATTCATGGCGTTTTGTGGTTTCATCCAATCCCACATAGCTATCTAGCTCTGGGGGCGTGGTGCTCGTACTTGGGAGGACGCCCACTTCCTGTACACTGACTCTAACTTCCTGGACGCTGGTGTCACTGGGCGTTGGGTTGTTCTGACCCGTCCAGTGGTCACTGACTACATGAGAGAATAGAAGATCTATAAGAGAAGTTGAAACTTCATCAGATAAGGCCGTGCTTCGGAGCGAAAATCACAACTCAGCACTGATGTAAATGATTTCAATATATGATATCCCTCACAGGAACTTTATAGTGGCTACACCCTGTACTCACAGCTGGCTAAGTCCTCCAGTTGGATTTTGTGTGTTTCAGGGGGCTCACTCTGCGGTCGACACCAACCGTTTCTACAGAGTGACATGGGGACGACCCCATAGACATAAGTCAGCATTAGCGGTACACCCACACCTGCGGGAAAAAAGAAAAGGATGAAAAACCAATTCATAATGCATTATATATAATTGGAACCATTTGTCTGTAGAGTCTGTGCCAAACTACTATCATTTAATAACATACAAATGGTTATTAAAAGAGCACTGCTGCGATTTAAAGTTTGGGGGAGGGCTTTGTGAAAGAGATATATAAAAAAAAATGGCAAAAATCAAAGCAGCCGAGGCCAAAATATCCTGACCTCTAGTCCTTCGTATGGTTCAGGCTCAGAAAACACTGCAACCTATCATTCCCACAATGCAACCCTGATAAATCTTCTCGTCTTTCAACATCCACACCCCAAGTTAGTAACAAAAAGAAAAAAAATGCCTAGTATTAAAGTCAAACCCATGCAAATCCATGTTAAAATGGCAAAGTGCACCTTTGAAGAGTTGTACATTTTCAACGGGAGTCCCTCCTGCTTCACAGTGAGCTGGACTAAAGTACACACCTATTTACAAAGCTTTTCTTGGCATCTTAACCATCTTATTTATGCAGTTTAATTGTTCCAAATAAAAATGGGAACTACTGGTTCTGCTCCAGGAAATTATATCTTCCTTATGTTCCAAGGAGTGTACCAAGCCAGGGACTCATTTCCTTGCAAGTTTTTAAATCCATTCTAATAGAATTGTAGTCAAGCTGATCTTGCTCTGTTCATCCGTTTTATGTATTTATTTTTGAAGCATTTTTATCTACTGCATATTTGTTTTTATATCACTTGTTATGTTATTTTATTTCATCTGTGTGAGTCTTGTGAACATTGATTCATTAAAAGTCTGCGCTATATGTTTTGAAACCTCTGTGTTTTTCTATGTGATGCTGCTCCCTTGGCCAGGATGCCATTTCCTGGTTATATGTGATTATTATTACTATTATTAAGCTGAGAGGTGGAAAGACATCCCTGCTGTGGACACTTGAAAATTAATAGAGTATTCTTTGTCCGGCCGGTTTTCATTTTTGGACAACATAGGCTGTGAACACATGGCTTTTGAGCAGCGGACTCTCTGAACTTGATTGCTGAAGCTTCCTTAAATGCACCGGCAAGACAGATTTCTACACAGTTCGTGCACTGGCAGGACACAATACTCAATTTCTGACATAACAATTGAGGAATAGATAAAGTATTCACAGCGGATGGATCACCTGTCTTTATGCTAAGTCCAAATGAGAATACTGCAGTGCATAACTACACTGGCAAAGTCAAACTGTGTTTAACAAGTTCAGTTTCACTCTTCTTCGTAACCTTCACACAAGTTGTTTCAACAAACCCCCGAACTCGATGAGCAGCAGCCTGCGTATGGTGTGTGATTATGCAACCTGTGATTGAGATAGGAATTTGGGAACACAAAGCAGAGTGCCAGCCAAACAAAGGGACATCATTAACACAGCGGGAACACTGGGACGCTATTGACTCAGCAACAGGGTGAAACCAGGGCAAGAGGATGAGCCTGCCAACCAAACTGTTCACAGAGAGAGTGTCTGTGTGTATGTTTGCATGTGCGTGAGTCAAAAAGAGAGAAACAACAAGGCAGGGAGCTGTGACTGAAATATGAGAAACAGAAGAGATATGAGAAACGCATACGGCAGAGAGAAAGTGAAGCCAGAGTGAAAAATGAAACAGAAGGGGGCGTAGAGACAGCAGGGAGGGATACGCAGGGGTAGGAGGCGAGGGTGACGAGTACAGTGCGGCTAAATGTTTGTTCGAGTGTGTGTGCCAAGGGAGGGCCCGTCAGTGCGCGGTACAGTGATGGGTGTTACACTGCAGAGGGAAGCTGAGAAGCCGATACAGCCTTAAGGATTTCTGTCAGAGCCACAAATGTTACCTACGGTAGGAAGGGGCATGAGTCATCAAAATGCTACTTTGCACTGTGTGTGTGTGTGTGTGTGTGTGTTTCAGTGCGTGTAAATGTTTGTTCGAGTGTGTGAGCCAAGGGAGGGCCCGTCAGTGCGCGGTACAGTGATGGGTGTTACACTGCAGAGGGAAGCTGAGAAGCCGATACAGCCTTAAGGATTTCTGTCAGAGCCACAAATGTTACCTACGGTAGGAAGGGGCATGAGTCATCAAAATGCTACTTTGCACTGTGTGTGTGTGTGTGTGTGTGTGTGTGTGTGGGTGTGTGTGTGTGTGTGTGTGTGTGTGTGTGTGTGTGTGTGTGTGTGTGTGTGTGTGTGTGTGGCAATGAAATCAAGTTGCATGTTTGCATACAGACACCCTGTTTGTGAGTATTCACATGACTGTATCAATGACTTTAGGGCTGTACACTAAAGGTTTGTGCCAAATGAAGCCTGGACTCGTGTTCAAATGAGTTTAACTACTGATTTATTAAAGGACCAATCTGACATTTTTGGAAATCTGTGTGTTAATCAGTGAGGTTTAGAGGTGCTGGTAGGTCAGCCATATGTTGAATGAAGCTAAGTTAGCTGGCTTGTGATGGTAGCATTTACATTGTCCCACAGCCTTTACACATCACTATAGATGGGAGTATGCCAGACTCTCCATCGTCTCTATCTTTATTGATTTTTTGATCCACATAAATACTGCCTCAGACACTGGAAAATCTGATAGACCTACAGCTTAGTATTCAAACGCAAAATATTTTAAATTAGCATATTTATTTATCTATATATATATTATTTTATTTTTTTTACCTATTCACAACTAAATTTGCAAAAAATAGCTAATTTTACACTTTAATTACATCGAAGTGTGCATGACAGAAGATGGCCATGTTGTCGTTTGCTCCTTACCCACAGTGACAGCTGCTATGACCGGCGACACAAAGACTGACATCATCACCCCACTCGCCACAGTCAAGTAGTGCTTGCTTCCTGAGATACTGTTTTTCTTACAGCGACCATGGACCTGGAAGGTAACAAATAAAATATAAATTAGATACTGGAAATTGAGTTTGTTGTTCTTAGTCGTTGTTCTCAGTCTCTGCAACCACTTAGTCCTGTCACTTATTTATGTCCGCTAATAAAGACATCCCAGCATGCATGAGGGGAGAGGAAAAGCTGGCTAACACAGCGCTCTAACACAAAGACAAATACGTTCACATCTAATGTCAGTTTAGTTGCAATTTAGTTGCCATTGTTTACAATCCACTTGACCTGCATTATGCGCAAGATAACTTGTTCAAAATTGATTTCACATCTGTTGATTACATGGAAATAAACAGGATTTGGGATGTACGAATCATTTACACCGAGGTTGGCAAATGTACATGTTTACATGTACATTAAAAAACTGAAATCCTTTTAACACATTCATTTGTTTACATGAGTATCCTAGAGAGCCGTATGGGAAGATTTTGCACATTTAAGATATACTGCACAATGTGAATCTATTCAAACCAGTAATTTCCTGTGAGACAGTGTTTACTGAGTGTTTTGTACCTTTCGGCCCATGTAGATTGGTATGCCCACAATGATGACAGGAATGGCGATGCCCGCTATAAGGGAGATGACCACCGGTGCTCCGAGCAACATGCCCACCTGCCACAGTACCTTGCGGGTTTGCGACCATGGCTTCTTCCCCCAGAATGTACATCCTGAGGGACTGAGACACAACGGGGGAGATCACCAAAGAGTTCAAAGTATTACCATGCACAGAGTTCAAGAAAAAAATTGTATCCTATGGATCTCAGTCTATCTGTTGTTCAGTCTACCACTACTGAATGGTTCTCCGGGACATTTTGCACAGACACATGGTTCCGAGAGGATGAATCCTAATAACTTTGATGATCCCCTGACCTTTTCTTCAGACAGCACCACCAGTGTGCCTAAATGTCATGGCTTTAGACTCTTAGTCTTGATATCACCTTATTAGCACAGATTTTTGGTTTTATCCAAACTTCATACTTAACATATATGGTGTGTACATGCACATATAGGCCCACCATCGTCTCCAAAGCTATGACCACTAAAGCATCATCATCATGTGTAGGTCATGACCTCTCACACAACTTCAACCAACTCTGGCAAAAACATAAAAACTTCTGAATGATTATTTTTTAAGAAACTAGTGAAATAAATAAGTAGTGACAACAACATGACAACATTAGCGGGTTATCTTATTGCTGTCATTACATCATTTCCCAAATTGAATGATCTCATCTGCATTTATCTTTTTTTTTCTCCCTGAATTATAGTCATTTGCAACTACAATTCACATACTATTTCCTTTTTTTCTTGCATGCTGCTGTTAGAGAAATGGAAATGCCTGGTTATTTAAGTCTGTTTACAAGGAGTAGATATTCTGTAACCTGATATGACTTTAGGTTCAATAAATGTCGCCTTAGGTGCTACTTTAATCTAGCATCAGCCTTTGATGTTGTGCTGTAATTTTAACTGCCAACACTGACTAATGCTGTTTGGTCTAATCAAGCAGCAAATAACCTGTAGGAACAGCAGTGACAATATAAGGAACACAAATAGCACCTTAGGGCTATGCCTTTTCTCAAAGCATGCGTTTGTGTTACAGCAGCAAATGTCACTTTGGGATTCTAAAAGCCTGAGTGGAGGAATTGCAGTGAGATATTATGGTTGGGCTCTGAACTTGCAGATTTTTGCTGTGTGATGGTAAAAGCTTTGCCCTTCTATAGGACGTTCACTGTAATTTATAGTGTGAAAGACAGACCAGGGTGAGGGAAGAGAAAAGGAGGAGGGGGAGGGCCTGGGGGAAAAGGAGGAGAGACGGTGTGAAAAGACAATGCGGCTCATGCAGGCAACGGAACCCAAGGCGTGAAAATAATCAATACACGAAAAAAAAATCATGCATCTCACACACCTTTCATACACTATAGTTCTGAAATGCGCCTTGGCCAGTGGAAAGATTTACTTATCTTCTTCTAGCTAGTCTTGTATCTTGAGTTACATATTCTGCCGCATTGGAAATATGGAGGCAGGCAGAGCTGATGCATTGATGACAAGCCAGCAGTGACTCCCCTCCCGGACTGGAAAAGTCAATGGAGGCTAAGAGGAACAGTTTAAAGCAGCACAGCCTCTAAACAATGACATACAGTATGCTGACTTGCTGACTTGACCAGTTTTTATTTCCGACTGGGTATTGCTTAATAACCTACAGATGGAGTAGTGGTGCGAACCCAGGTATAATAATAATTCTAGTGAATCTAGTTATGAGGTTTTAGTCCTTTAGGACGAATTGAAGTATCTCACAAATGCCAAAGTTAGACTTGTGCCATCAAGCATTTTTTCACCTCCTGCTGTTGTGAGACTAGGATCGAATTCTGCTGCTCTGTCTTTCTCTGTCTGTGTTTCCGTGCAGCACTTTCACAGTACAGGTCTCCAAAAAACCAAGATAGTTCACTGTAGGGCAGCAGCTAAAGATGAATTACATTAGCAGTTACTGTGTCACTTTTTTTTTGATGAATCATTTGGTCTAAAATAGTGAAAAAATTCAAGGTGGACAAAACATAAATAAACATAAATACACTGTGTTAATAATTAGACGAATAGATGATTAGATGATAACTTAAATGATGTAATGATTACTAAATCTGTTGTTAAATGTTTAGTTGACTAATCATTTCATTGCCTTTTCTCAAAGTTCACAACATGACATCGTCTAAATTGGATGTGGGCGTTTGGTTGTGCATGTTAATGTGATCATGAGCTGAGTGTGAACACGACACCTGAGGTAGTGCACGTCGGTGATCTCCTGCATACACAGCCAACAGAACTGACAGGCACACACAGTGCAGTTCATACGGTTACAGCTGCCATCATTGGTCTTCATGATGTAGGCACCACAGCGAGGGCACGCTTTGATCTCCTCCGCGTCTACAGCAACAGAGTGAACATGGAATAATGGGTTGACCACACATTCTGCAATATTTATTTATTCACTTAAAGGAAAAGCTCAACATTTTTGGGGAAAAATAACTTTTAGGGGGAAAGAAGCGACTTCATGGAGTCTCCACTGGTTGCCTGGGAAAAGTTAGCGCCAAGAAATGTCAGCAGAGCCGAGCCAGCTGTTTCCCTTGTTGAAAAACATATTAGACAGTGCAACAAAGGTAAACGGGAGCTGCCCGTCCTACCTCCTCCAGGTTCTTCATTGAAGACGTACAGCGTGGAGGCATCGTTGCCGCCTGAGGTGTGGCGGGCCCGCTGACGCCGGGCCTGGTCACACGTCTGGTTGGGGTGCCACAGCTGCCGACAGTGGTAGCAGAACTCCGTGTCGCATCCCTCACGGCCACAGCTCAGCTTGGGACACTCGGCACAGCCGTAAGCTATCACTGCATAGCTGAGGAGAGAGAGAAACTGGTTCATATGATAACTGATCGTCATGGAGTGCTTTAGTCCAGGTTCCGTCCCTACTCACTATTCCACCCTGTTGCCGCACCATGTTCAAGATGGGTCACGGCGGCTGCAGTTTCATTTGAATACCATCGATTTGGTTGTCTGACTGGAATAAATATGAAAAAATGAGAAAACATAATGATTGTCAAATCTCTCGCTCTCCTTGCATTGTTTTGCTGTTCAGCCTGGTGAAGCACACTGAATTGTTCATTGTTGTCTTGGCTCACAAAACAGCACATTTGTTGACTCAGTGAGAGATACAACTATCTGTGGGACTGGTTTCCAAAGTTCAACACCTGAACCAGGAATAATTCCACCCTCAGATCTTGAGCACATTTGCGATTATGATGACAACAAGGAGGTTGGTTCCTGTGGACCTAATCTCACTTCTCAGAGGGGATATCAACATTTTTAATATTCATAAGATCATGTGATTAGTGATCAAATACAAGTTAAAGTAACCGTGAGTGAGTCGCGGGCCTCTAGGATCCAAGCAGCACTGCTCTGCTGTGAAGTATTTAAAAAGCTCCTCCAGGGTTTTTTCCTTTGGCAACGCCAGCTTCATGTGGTTTTCAGGTTTATGTGAGAGGATGATGGATCAGGCAACAGGAAGGCCACACACACACACACACACACACACACACTTAGGCTATATACAGGGATAATTAGACTGCTGCCTGGAATCCACTTTGGTGTCAAACTAGATTTGAACTGTCTCTGATTCTCAAGTCAAACACTTGTTCATGCATAAAAACATTTCCAGGTATCAGTGAATATCTTTATCGAAGAAACCAGCAATAATTGGCGTCTAACAAAGATGTTTAAAGAAGTTCTGACAGCACAACACTGGCAATGCCACAGGCGGCTGACACCATTCAAACCGAATTTCACTTGACGGGCAGCGCTGCACTTTTATTTCTTGCCTCTGACAATATAGATTATAGATAGATCAAAGTTTTAGCAAAGCCTTTTGCAAAATACATGCTTATATATAAATATATTCTTAAAGATCCCCTCCAGACATGTTTTAAAAAATCTAAAACACTCTTGCTTTGAATAATAATTTGTGTCTGATATGGGTTTTATATATTATATTAAATAGTAATACTACCACAACAGTTTAATTACCTAGTTAAAGATTCTCAGAATTAAATCTATTTCTGTTTCTTCCTCATTGAAAAGTCCACAATCTATAAATATGCAAAATGTTTAGGTTTCAAAAGTTTAATGGCTGGACAGAAGATGACTCCTACTTTATGTTTTATGTCTAAATTATGTTTTATGATTACACGCCCTAAATTCAGATTTAAAATGAGCACAGAGGAACTCTCAACTTTCAGCAGATGAATGTGAAAACAACCTTTAATGTCAAACTCTGCTGCACATACATCGTTCTGCACATCAGTGAAGCAAAAATAAACAGGAGGGGGACCTTAAAGGTTCCCTGTAGAGTTTTTAACCACTTGTTGCACTATGCAGCAAATGCTTTCATGAGCGGATGCCTGTTTTGTTTATATCTCGTGCACAGGGAAGCACATGCATGCGCACGAGTCCATCCTGACATGACACACATTATTGGCAGTGGTTTCGGGCTATTCCACTGATTGACAGTTGGTGGTGGTAATGCCCCAAGAAACACGCAGCAGCAGCAGCAGCACCATAGAAAAAAGGCTGTGAAGAGGGAGAGTATTAGCCAATGTAAACAGAGATGTAAACAAAGCAAGTCTGAAAGTATCTTTAAAAATCAGCTGTTTTACGAGGAGGAAAATTACTTCAACATGTTTGCTGGGCATCAAGGATACCCACAATGCATTTTGATGGGAAACAAAGATGTAAACATACTTTGATTTGTTTACAAGAAAAAATCCCACAGGGATAATGGAGGTAATCCAGTAGGTATTTCAAAATGTAAAGGGTTCGACAGAATTCCAAATTAAAATGTTCTATGTTTTTATTCAGATCAATCTAATTAGCAGGCTATGCAGCTAACATCATTTTTGACAAGGGCTGTCATATTGTGGCAATGGATTAAAAACATGAAAAATGTGCTCACATAGATCCAAATGCATGGAGACAGACACAGTGCAAAACACACATTTTGCCACACTTTCCCTAAACCAAGATAATCTCCAGCTAAGCTTCTGTCACTAAGACCTCGAGGAATGTCTGTATGTCGGGAACATGGGAATACACAAACCATAACTGTGAATGAATACTTTACATAATGGGCCAGCACTTCAAAAGCTCTGCTCTGTGGGAACTATTAGTCATTTCAAATTTTAAATACAACTACAGTAACCTCAAATCCCCTTTTTTTTCTTTTTTTTTTTTTCAAATATGTCAAACTAAAAATTCTCAGGTCTTTTGTAGATATTTTGGAAATCCGAACTCTTGTTTCTCTGTGTTATATTTAATTCACCACAGCTTCAGACGGATTGGCGTATTGATTTCTGCTCCACTCATTCATCACGACCGGCCTATGAGCACTGACAGTTGGGGAGACAGACAGTCTACCACTGAGTCCTGGACCCTGGTGCATACGTGCTTTTGACCACAATTACCCACCGAACACACACACACACACACACACACGCATTATGATTTCCCATCAGCAGCCCTATCCTGTTACCCACCCATGAACATTAAGGTGATACTGTGATGGATCGGTGTCTGTGAATGTTGTAAACAACAGCAGAAAAGAAGCGAGTTAACTCAGAACATGTCTTGTGGTTGCATTGCATTGTGGTCTATTGGATTGAAGCTGCTGTCAATGGAAAAAAAAAAAACAATATATCTCTGACTCCTCCACAGTGGATTTCTCCCTGTATGATTTATGATAATGTCTTAGATCGATTCTGCAATGAAATCACAGTGTAGCGGTGCTTAAAACATTTCGGCCAATTATCCTCAGGGAGCAAGAAACACACCAAGAAATGCCAGTCCCATCACAAGTGATTAATTTGTAAGTGTTATTGCAATAAACTAATTAAAGGAGAATTATTTTTAACTACCAGTGTAACATGTATTTGGTGTTACTGGATATAGTCCCACATTTGGACACAGTAGGTAGATTCTTGAAAAGGTGTAGTTACAAAGGGAAAGAAGTTTACTGCATCCTTCACAACCTGTCTGCTCTGTTCCAGGATCTGTATAAATATATTGCAGGCATCAAAATTTTACCAGCCTTGGGATGCATATAAAACTCAAACTGAGCTTTCACTTGCTGTCAGTTCAGCTTTTTAAAGTGCAATCAATCATTCTGACATTGAAAAACTGTTCACAGTTGCGTTTCATAACACAAAGCTTGCGGTGGGATGACAGGGTTTGACAAGAGCTGTCATATTGTAGCGATAGATTAGGGCTAATTGTTTTGCACGGTAATTACAGTACGGTGAACAGCTACTTCGGGACTCAAGATGTCCATAAAGATACATTTTCTACAAGTTCAGAGGCCATTATTCCTTATTTTCTAAGCCTTATCTTCTTATCAATTAAATTACATTCTCTCTATGCTCAGTTAATTAGTTATTTACTTTTGATTATTATCAATGAATTTGAAATTAAAGCTTTTCTAGTATAAATACACTATGTTCAAAATTAGCCCTAACCCTAACCCTAAGGAAAAATAGCTGATTTGCTCCTATAATCTAAATGCAGGGTGGCGGTATAAGCTTGATTCTCACCTGCAGTCAGGCGCAGGGCACCAGCGTGTATCTGGATCAGCAGCTAGAAAACGCCTCAACTGGTACTCCTCAAACCGCTCCAGCAGCGCCCGGTCATCTAGGATGGCACGGACATCCAGTGGCGCCAGTGTCTCAGGGCACTGCGGGCATGCGATGCCCACCCGGCTCTCCGATATCTCGATGCGCAGGTACTGGCGGAGACAGTCGGAGCATGCCCGGTGGGAGCAGGAGGTGAGTCGTGGGAAGTGGCAACGCGGTTGACTGAGCAGGCACAGTGGGCACTCCTCCAGGTGTTCGTCCAATAGCTGCTCCTGGCTGGAGGAGGAGAGGGACAGGACACCAGTGGAGCCGCTGCTGACCCCACCCACGCATTCGGCTGTGGCGGCACCATCCTTTCCCACCTCAGCAGCTGCCGGTGGACCTCCTCCTTCTCCTCTTTCTGCTCCAGAAACTCTTGATTCTCCAGCCTCTTCTGCTGCGAGGCCGAGGTCCTATGAACAATTACAGAGCTGCTGATTTACCAAATCCTAAGGGTCACAGGGTGAGAGACAGCAACTTGTGAGAACATTCTGCTGTTGTTCTCAAAAAAAATGTTTTATTTTGAAAGTCATAAATAAAAACAAATGGACCATCCTCACCTTTCTACTGAAAAGCAGCTTAGGTGAGTGTGTATGACGTGTAGGTGGCTACTTGTTCTCTTTGGTCACTTGGTTTCTTGGCAACATAATTTCTAGAAATTACCAATTAATTAAATAAACACTCTAATGGATTTGGGCTATAACAGTATGGGAGAGGGAGGAAGCAAGCAGAAGGTAATACATCCAAAGTTAATGATTTGCAGCCTCTCTGCAGCTTCTTCTGTCTTACACAACAATCTGAGAGACAATGAGATTCAGTCACTTTAAACACCTGACATCTAAAATTTATAAAAAATTACCTTTAAAACTTATATGAACAAAAGTGAGTAAATATCTAACGGTAGATATGGAGTAATAAGCACTAATAATAATAATAATAGTGCAGAAAGATGCAATAATGTAATATATATATAGCCTATATATATATATATATATATATACATGCAACACGTCAGTAAATTTCCATCCAAATACAAATTTCAGTCTCAGTGTGTTTGTAAAGACAATAAACTCCATATAAGCTTGTTAATGGACGTTTTAAAACTAAAGCTCAACACATAAAAACCAAGATCAAACATTCACAAGTATTTGATTTGACTTGCTCACTTTCACTCACTCTCAAACAACATTAGCAGTATCGGGAGAAACATCCTCACCTGTTCTGGATGCTCGCTGGGCGTCAGGGTGATGGCCACCTCCTCTTTGGGCCAGGCTTCCACAGGCCTCTCGGGCCTCGGCTCCGATTTGGGTTTTCTGCTGAAGAAGTTTAGGAAGCTCAGCGGCCCCGTCTGCTGCTTGGGCCTCTTCATCGTCTGGGACTAGAGCGGGAGCAGCAGCTGAGGAGGGCAGGCCAACGACCATGAGCAGGATGCAACTGTGTGTGCGTGTGTGTGTGCGTGTGTGTGTGTGTGTGTGTGTGTGTGTGTGTGTGTGTGTGGGTGTGTGTGTGTGTGTGTGTGTGTGTGAGTGTGGTTAGGTGAGCACAGCGAGCTCTCACGGCTCAGAGCCTCGGAGCTGGGCGGCTGCTCTGCTGTACGCGGGAGGAAGAGCGGGAGAGACGGAGGGGGAGACGACAGGGAGGAGGTAATCCCTGCCCGAGGGGAACATCACTAATTTGGAGCCTTTCCGTGGTCTGGTCATGTGGTTTACTTTGTCTTTTCAGCCCTCGTTCTCCTCCTCCACCTCCACTGAAGTTCCCTCGGTCTGAGCTAGTCCTGAACGGGCTGAACTCCTGAATTCTCCTTCATCCTTTCAGGCCTCCTCTTCGCTGATAGCAGTCACTGGAAACAAAAACACAATCATGATAGTGAATTAGAAATCTATGTGCTGTGCTCTCTGAAGGCATGTTGTCATTTTCTCATACAATGTTTTGTTTAAAGAAATCCCTACATAAAAAGACTAGGCGATAATTCAGTATAATATTAATTAACTTTCAATTGGAGTTGCATCAAGAAGATTTAATTACATTGTGTCACTGTTGCACAAAATGTTGTTGTGGAAAATGAATCCAAGCAATATGTAATTAAAAACCAACAAAATGACTTACTGAAAGTTTTTTTTTTTTTTTTACACATTGAAAGCTTTGTCTAATGTAGTGCATTATAGTAGAACAAAATTCATCATATTTTACATGTAATTATACATATATTTTCTATATTGTGATATACATTGAGATCTCTATATGTGGAAAATTGGATATTAATTCAGTACTGTGATATCGATCTAAACCAATGGCCCCTAACCAAAATCGGTCACCAGATAAATGTGAGGTGTCAGAAAAGAATATAAAGGAGAGGAAAGCAAAAAAATTATATATTTATTATTTAAACTAAATGTACGGTGAATCCCATGTATTACTGGGTAAACGTTCCTCTTTAAGCTTCTCATATGATCCAAGTAGAACAAGGAAAAATATTCACTTTTTGGTTTGGTCACAACCAGGAAATATGTAATGGCTTCGTAAGGGGGTTGCAAACCAAAAATGTTTTATTATGATAATTAAAAGAAAAACAGAGAGAGAGAGAGAGAGAGAGAGAAAGAGAAAAATAAGAAAAAAATAGCTTTTTTCATCTATTCTTATTTTCCTGACTTTGCTCAAATCTTTGCTCTTTTCTTGCGAATCTCTGTGCGATTTAAATATCACAATCACTAGAAAAAAAATCCCTATTCGGTTGAACAGATATCAACCGTGAGACATATGCAGTAGACATTTCTGAATTTTAAGGGATCACAGGCCAAAAAGGTTGGGAACTAATGCTCTAACCCATGTTGTCCAGCCTGACATTAGTGTCATATCCACAATTTACCATATAATCAGCCTCATCTTGCTTTAATTCATATCTGCAGTCATGTTCTCTTTTGAACTTTGATTCTCTTTTGAACCTTTTTTTTATTTCATGTAGAGAAACCTCTCTGTGAACCCCATGTACATGAATATAAATGTTTTCTATGAACTCTTTCTTTCCCCTCTGGCTGCAAATTCGGAGCCACATTATATAGAACAACAACAGCAAACAGGACTTTCACACAAACACAGATACTGTAGCTCAATCTGCCCTATGATGTTTAATTTGTGATATCTTCATAGTTAGCAGCCATATTCATATTTAATCACTGCAAATCTGCTCCACATAAATAAAAGATATATTGTGTATTAAACAGCGCATTCAGTCTCTTCTAGGGTTTTGTTGGTAAACAGAGGCTTGAGACCTGACCAGGCCTGACGCCAAGTCATATTTACTCGAAACAGAAGCAGACCAGGACCTCATTTTGAAATTTGACCTTTTGAATAATGTCACAAAAATAGCAATTCGTGAGACAAGCTGCTACACCATTTCACTCCTAGACCTCTATTCAAAGTCATTTATATGAAATAAAATATGGAGGTTTGGATCTCTGCACCCCCGGCCACCCCTTCGTACAGCCTCGGACATGAGCAATAAGGTCACAGCGTCATGCGACACAAAGAGCAGATGGATGAGAGCGCTGTGACTGGTTTGACAGAGAGAATCGGGGGAGATGGAGGGTGCGGGTGAGGCAGAGGAGAGGCGATGATAGACAGCACAGACAACTCATTCTGTCTCCATTAGGCAGCAGCGAGCTTTCGTAATCAGGCCCAGAGAGCAAAGAGAGCATGAGGTGATGAGGTCATATAAACCCCAGACCAATTAAAATGGCTCTCTCCATATCGACACTACGTCAAATCAGACCATGGAGTTCGACATGAAATATGATATGATTATATATTATCATCTATTTAAAGATCTGAAACAGTTCTCTAATTGTGTAATTGCAGAAAAAAAGTTCAATCTGTGATCTCAAAAAGTAATGCACTTCTTATAGGAAACCAGCCAGAGGCAGGCTATAACTACAAGAGCTACTATCATTCTTTAAACAGGGGTGCACAAAGAACCTGGATTTATGTAACACTGCAGTGCCTAACCTGCCTTCTTGCACAGAGACTGAGAGTTAGAGTTGTATTTATATTCCAGTCATATGGATATGTTCAACTCGACATGAATAGCAGGCTCTCCCTGCAGCAGCACATCACTGAATATGGTCATTTTAAGAGTAAAGAGAAGACATTCCTGCGCTTTGAGAAGTTGGCACCATAAACCAATGATTAGATGATGCACGGTTTTTTTTTTACCTCCTTCACTGTATCTCTGCTGGAAATTCTACATCACAGTAGTTTGCCACTGACAACAATATGGGTACAGAAGTGCGACGGCTGTTTTATGAAGGGATTATCTGTTAAAACTGCCTTAACATTCGTGTAAGAAAAGATCCTCTTTGAACAGATCTTTTGGAAATCTTTAAAAAAAAAAAAAAAAAAAAAAGCCAAATATTTAAATAAGTTAATAGAAGAAACATTAGATACAATAAACAAGGTAAAAGAATAAATTTAATAGCTTGTCCACACAACTTCTAAAAAAACTAGTTCAATATGAGCTGGCTAGATGACCGCTGTTTGGGAACATGTTTGAAGCTTACTGTCTCACAACCCAACACAGGATACAGTGACAAAGTCTGAGCTACAGCAGGGCACACAACTCCCACTTCAAAAGTTGGGGTCACAAGTTGCAGTTTTCAGCCTTTGATGTTGTCTTTCCATTTAAGTTTGACCATTACACAGCCATCGGTCACAAACTTTTTGGGTTCAGTTGTATTTGTTCACAGATCCACCGGCAACTCTTTAGTTTTCCCAACATGTAGTAAGTGAAAACTGCTGTCCAGATCTCTCATGGAAAACTATGTTTGCGGACAATAAAAAAAAAACACAAAGCAAGGAATGCATTCTGTTGAATAAAGCCATCTGTAATAAAAAAAAGAAAGAGCACCACAGCAACAATTTGAAAGGGTTTCCCTTCCTTTTCAAAGTCTTCCACTACATTTCTTTCACCAGATGCAGCTTTTCTTCGTTTTCTACAGTTAGTAGCTTACAGTGATAAATTCTTTATCTAAGCTGTACATTCACTTGAATTTTCCCAACATCCATATTCCATGGCAACATACTTTCTAAGCCCAAACACAGGAACCAAAGCACCGACCTCTGTGCTGTTTATTTATAGCAATAAATCCAACATATGAAGGCATCAAAAGCGCATAACCCACTCAAGAGTTCAATTCACACGCCACGAACATACTATTTCTGTAGTGTATCTACGTCTACACACTCCATATACACGCCTCAAGCACACACAGGCACCCTGACATGTGCACAAACAGACGCACACACAGACACACGGACAGACACACGGAATTGAGTGTTCTTAAAATACAGCTCAGTGGGCTTCAGCCAGGGCTTATCGCTCGACACTAAAGACGGATAGCCAAGTAATTACGACAACACAATTCGCTGCCTAGCGACTCAGATAAATTCCCACTGTGAGGGAACGAAGTTTTTCATCAGAAAGTTCAGAATTAAAAGGCTTCCTCTTCCCAATCCTCACTTCTCGTACACAGCAGAGCAGAGATAAAGCCGTTGGTGTGAAATCAGATCGTACAGAACATTATAACATCTCAAAGTCTACATGATAAAATGACAGTCAGTAACCAAACACAATAATGGTATATGGTAATAATGGTAATAATAAATAATGAGGGATTTTTTCCTGAGTTGTTGAAATACTAATTTTGGTGTTTTACTAGGAGATCGATTATTTTTACTCAAATCGGACTGAATCAGTTTTTATAGAAATAAAAGACTATACTCAACATAACATTATACAGCCATTGCATTTCTCTGCAAAATTTGCTGTGTTTTGGCACTGGCTCTGGTCCGTACTTAACTGCCAGATTTGACTCGGATTTAGGGGCTCAGACTGGGGTCAGTTTGGGCTGAAAATCAGCTCCGTTTAGCTACTAAACTACTCAGACTAGTTTTGGATCAGTTGTGGCCCCCAGAATCAGCCAAAGTATTCTGGCAGGTCAGCTTGAGACTGCAAACTAAGTGCACTGAAGTAAGATCAACGCTGGGCCAAACATTTTTAACTACATAGGTAGACTTACAAGTTTTTCCTCAACTTCTGACTAAAGCTTCCATTTATCACAAATCATGTTCCTTCTCTTCCAGTTGTCCTGTTCACAATCTGTGCAGAGCATCCTTACATTGTTATAGATCATCATCATCATCATAATCTGGAATCAGATCGTCCACCCATCAAAAACTCCAGAAACAAAGACCACTGACTTACACACCCACACACACACACACACACACACACACACACACCTGAACAGACGGGAACCCACGTTATTATGCACATACACATTTGAATTATGGGACTGCGGAGACGGAAATGGCACAAGAAGCTTCTGGATGAGTAGATGCTGTTTTGTCTTCTACAACCAGCGGCTATAATAGAAACAAACAGGACATTTCTGT